TATATTTCCTTATCTCTATACATATCAAATCAACCTATCAAAATGAAATGAAAACCCTTCATAATAATAATAATAAAAAAAATCCATTGCTCAACCTAAACTAGACTAAAAATCCATTGCTCAACCTCCATAACCGATCCCCTATGGTTTTCCATTCTCTAACCAAGATTACACTAGACTAAAATCCGTCAAACCCAGGATCGAGACTGCAACTAAACCGGCACCAATGTACCGAGTCATTTTTCTCACGGCGTGGTTTTTCTTGACCTTGTTGTGGAAGCCGGAAGAGACGATGAAGGTGGAGGAGCTGTAAAAATATTTATATTTTTAAGTGACCTATGTATCTTTTCGGTTTAATTGTAAAGATCAAATTTATATTAAAGTTTAGGATTCTAATATAAAAAACGATACTGTGATGGATCGTTTTCGATCAAAAACATTAAAATCTGGGTGTATTGATAACCCTCCTCCTTTATTTTTATAAATATTCTTCTTATATGATTATATATATATATATGAAAGGATATATATATATATATATATATATGACAGGGTATATATATAATTAATAAAGAAAATAATATGAAAAGATATCAATAAACGTATGTGACTGTTGGCAAGAGTTGCTGTTGGCAAGAGTTGCTACGTGTGTCTGTTTATAAGGGTATATACAGCAGGGTATCATGTTGGGTATCAAGCCCAGAATCATATGTAAAATTCAATTAAAAAATAGAAAAATGAAGCATTTTTAATGAAACGGTATCTTCAGGACAAGCCTTACGATATGGTATCATTGTGAGGTGGCAGCAAGGGATTGGGCAAAAAAGTGAGAAAGGTTTGGGGACCAAAAAAATATCAGATTTTCAATTTTATTCTAAAAAAATATTAATATTCTATTCTAATGAACCTCTCATAGTGGGATTACTAATGTACATGGTCTAAGTGATGAAAAACATCACAGTTATAAACAACATAAGAAAAGCACACAAAAGAAACCTGTCTTGTATCGTGAGAAACCTGATTCATCGATCCTGGATATGGAAAAAGTTGCTTAAGTATAGAGATGTGGCAAAACAATTTTACAAGGTGAAAGTAATGAATGGCTACTCTGTTTCTTTCTGGTTCGATAGTTGGAGTACGCTGGGAAATCTCTATGAGCTTCTTGGTTCTCGGGGCTGCATAGATTTGGGTGTGTCCATTAATACTTCGCTTGGAGGAGTGTTGGATCAGACAAGAGTTAGAAGGCAGAGATACATGCTTTTAAGAAGGGTTGAAGAAGAGATAAAGGAATGTAGAGAGAGAAGAGTGATGGAGAAGGAAGAGGGAGCTCTCTGGAGAAATAAAGCTGGTCAATATGTAAGCACGTTTTCCACAAAAGACACTTATGCAAACCTGAGAACAGCAGGACAAGTATGGGAGGCTCACAGAGGCATCTGGTTCCAGCACGCGACGCCAAAATACGCTTTTACAGCGTGGTTAGCGGCTAGAAACAGATTAACAAGCTGGAGAAAGAATGGAGAAATGGAACATTAATGTGAATCTGGGGTGCTCTTTCTGCTCAGAGCCGAAGGAAACTAGAGAACATCTGTTCTTTAAATGCCCGTACTCTGACAAGATCTGGGGGCAGCTGGTAAGGGGGTTACTCGGAAGGAATTATACTTCACGATGGCAGGAAATTCTGGATATTCTAGTAAGCAACGGCCGTAAGCAAACATAAATTTTCATCTTGAGGTATGCATTCCAAATGGCTATACACTCAATCTGGAATGAAAGGAATCGTAGAAGACACGGCGAAGAGCATCGCACGGAACAGCATCTGGTCAAAAGCATGGACATAGCCATGAGGAACCGTTTGAGCACTATTCGGAACCCAGGAAAAAAGCGCTATGAAGATGGCGTGATGATATGGTTTGCGACAAGAAGTTTGTTTTAGATTTCATAGAGGAAACAATGTGGAATTCTTTGTAAAACGTTTTTTTTTTTTTCTGAATATAATTTAATATTTTATTCAAAACAAAAATAAGGAGAGAAAGGATTTTGGATTCCTTTATCCATCAAAAGAAATCATAAGAGTTTGAAGATCAGAGGGAGGAGAAAATCAAATTAGAGATTTTCATCAGACCAATAAGCATGGATCAAGGTTAGTGTTTCTTATTCCATAAGAAATTATTTGTGGTTGGATTAAACTAAATCTAGATCATTTTGGAATTAGATTTCATAACTGAAATCATAGAAGTAATTTACAGGAGCTTGCGGCGGAGAGTCAACTTTCATGACTTTGATGATCATTTTCTGACCCTTTTCACAATGGCCTTCGACGCCGCTTATGAAGTAGAACAAACCGGGTCGGTCCAATTTGAAAACCGTGTCATAGTGATTCGAGTAGAATTCCGGTTTGGTCGTCTGGCATTTCTTGTACTCTTCTTCTAATACCACCAAAACAGAGTCTTTCTTGTACTTGAAACCTTCAATCAAATCAAAAATGTAAATTCAAAAATCTGCATTACCATAATTGATAACAATATAATAAAAAGAGCTCTCACGGATAGTGTCGCCAACTTCAAAACGGTTCTTCGAAGCCCATATATTGGTTAAACATATCTCCATGGTTACTAGATTGTGGTACGACCCAACCATTTTCTCCTCCAGCTTCAAATTCAGTACATGTCACATATGAAAAAACAAATACCAATACAAAGATCGAAAGGATAGTAATCTTTGGTGCACCCATTTGTTGCATCAAATTTGAATTTGATATGAAGAAAAAAGAAAGAAAGAGAGGTTTTGACCTATTATTTGCTAATATTTTAATAAATATAGTCAATAATAATCTGTTAAAGAAATATATGTTGTTTTTTTGAGGATTTTGCGTATTCATTCTGAATGTAAATTATTAGAAAGTGTTACCCAAACAATTTTTTTTTTAAAAAAATTGAAAGTGTAAACTATATGATGATTTTTGCAAATTTGAAATGTTCAGGTGATACTCGGACAAAGTAAGTTTTGAAGGGACTTATTTGTAAAATGGAATAAAAGATTTGACAACTTTTGATTGGTAACAGTTTTACGGAATGTATAAGAATGACGGAAATAATTTTGCAGAATGAAATAAGCACTCAAAACTCACTTTTCTATTTAGGCTATGAATGGTGTCTTATTAATTGCGGTTTTCAAAAAAGAATTTTTTAAAACGCTTTTGTTCACCAATCATGAATAATTGAATGTGTTTTGCGTTTTTTTTTTAAAAAGAAAAACTTATTCGCGGTTTTTAATGCAGATATTTTATCTTTGCACCGCCAATTTATTGTCCCACACCTCAAAATCTGTGGTCCAATGAAAAAAACGCAGATTAAAAAAACACAATTATTTTAGTTTTTTTTTGAATTATTAATTAATATAACTTGGTTATAAATAAGAGGGAGAATAAATGAGGTTCGACACATTCACAAACCCATTCATCTTCTCAAAAAGAAAATAATTGAGACTCATTATCATCAATTTTACTATCTAAAAAAGGTACATCTTTTTTTTAATATTGTTATGCTATACTAATAAAATTAATATACTTAAATCAACATATATTATAGTAAAAAGTTCTATTAAGTTATTTTAAATGTGTTTTTTTAGTAAGTGAAGTTGTTATAATCTTTAAATGACTTATTTCATCATAATTTATGTTTTAAGAAAACAATTTAATTTAGTTGATAATTGTATTATGATATTATTTCTTCAAAAGTTATATAAAAAATACTGAAATTATAGTAAAGTAGTTATAATAAAAATCAAAAACAATCGTAAATATAATAAAGTATAATACTAGCAAATACTAAAATTGTAATAAATTTATCATATATATAAAAAATATAATCAATTTATTTCATATAAACTAAATATGTTTAATATGTTCATTCTAAATAAATTTAACATTTGATAAAAATAATAATAATAATAATAAGATATCACCTAAAATAATTATTAATTTATTTTCTATATGATGTTAATTCAAAATTTATTGTAATAATAGGTTATGTATTTCATTAATTAGTACATAAAAATATATTTAGATATAAATAATTTTATGGTAATAATAGTTTATTTTAATTATAATCCATTTACAAAACTAAATTTGTTATATTCTAAATTTTACTGTACTAATTTTAATGATTACGTTTACTAATTTAATAATAAATATATTATTATAGTAAATATAAATATAACAAAACATGTATTTATATCATTATTTATGCTTATATAATAATATGGTACAAATTGATTATGAACATTGTTAAACATTAGTTCACATAAATTTATATGTTTTTAAAAAAATACTATTAATAGTTAATAGATTATTAGATTAATTTTTAAATTTAAAACCAATTTTTGTATTTTATTGACTTAGATATGTCGTCTAATCGTCGACGAAACATAAATCCTTTGAGGTAAACAGGATCAACTCGTCAGGTAGAAAATCCAAATCCTCTCACAAAAACAATTGTTAGGGTAAATTTTTTTCTTCATATTTTAATATTAGTTAAATTTAATATTAATAATATTTATTATTATAAGTAATACAAATAGTCATATATACAAGAAAAAACATTAATTCAACTGTTCGACGAAGCAATCGCTATGAATAATAACACTCTCAAAAATCTTACAGCCGTTGGTAGAGAGTATATGGTTGATAAATTCAATAGAGCGTTCAATCTGAATATAAATTATGCTTTCTTCAAAAACAAAGTTGATGAATTAAAAAAAAAGATACAAAAGGTGAAAAACTCTTATGAATTCTACTGGTATCTCGGTTGATCCGGATACATCCATGATAGATGCATCTGAAGAATGGTGGAAGGAACGTGAGTTCGTAAGTACATATAATCCTTTTAATAATCAAAATATGTATTCAAATTATAGTATGAAGAAATCTATTGATTTCAAATTTATAGTGATGTAAATTGACAAAAAGCTTTAATCGAAAACCACTATAGTTTTGGGATGTGATGGTGAAATGTCTCGTATTACATGATGTTTACTCACAATCTCAACACTCTTCACGGCAAAGAAGAGAAGAATTGATCAATGAACGTGATTTTGATGAAGAAGGTCATGATGACTCAGACTCTGACAATGGTGACATGCAACAGACAGTTCTAGAGACACAAGAAGTTGAAGAAGTCTACCATATTAACATTGATGATGATACATACCCTTCAAATGAATATAGAAGTGAAGCGGTTCCAAATCGTGCTCCCAGAAGCCCACGAGGGAGGATAAATATAAACACTAGTGCTAGACAAGGAATTAGTTCACGAAGGTTAGGTGGAACCTCACAGATTTCTACTACGGGTGGTTCACGAGAAGGTCGAAGGAGACAATCTTTTGAGACAACAATACAAGATACAATTGCTGGATATACAGAATTTCAACGACTAAGTTTGCAACAACTTCGCCCTGGTGCTTTTGACCAAGCTGACTACGATGAATGGAAAAAGGCAGAAGCCATATTCCTTACTCTACAAATTTCAAAGGACACTAAATTTTACTGGGCGTGCCTTAATACACTTAAGGTGTTAGGATTTTGGCGTAAATATTTCATTGATATAACAGGAAGCATCGATGAAGATAAACTCCAGTTGCTAGAACCTATGACTAGTGTTTCACGGAACAACCAAGATGTCCCAAAACAGTTAGGTTCAAACCCATCATTTGGAAGTCCAAATTTTGGAGGGTTATCATATGGTAATCCATCTTCTTCTGGAGGGCACAAATAAACTTTTACTTGAAATAAAATTTGAATATTTGAAGTTTATATATATAAAAAAAATTATTAACCAAAATTAATAATTTAATTATAATATATTATTTATTATATATTTTTATAAAATATTTATCTATAATCTATAATCCGTACCGCTTTAATCTTATTCACCATTCAAACATTTTATTGTGTACCACAAACTGTTTTTTTACCAATCAAACATTATTCTATACCGTTAATTATATACAAATCGCACTTATACTCACAAATATATTTTTTCACATGTACCACAGTAAAACTGTACTACATTTTAAAACCGCTTTTTCTATACAATCAAATACGTTATTACCATTTGAACTCTTAATAGTTTTTTCTTTGTATTTTTGTTCAGACTGTATTTTCGCATTTTACTTTTCATTCCATTATTATCTTTTTATTGGCATAATACTTGCGGTTTCTCATTTAAAAACGCAATTTGGCAATTCGGAAAATTTCCAATCAAAACCTAAACGACAAGAGGTTCCATCGTTTTCGTACTTTCCTGTCACCACCGCCATTCTAAGCCCACTCGTTCACCTGAGCCGCGACGACGAAGATGAAGGCGAATCTGTAAGGCTTAGGGTTTATCGGATTGTAGCAATACGAAGAGCAAGAGGAAGCTGCTTTTTCGTGGAAGATCAATAATGGCGCAAGACTCGGAGAAGAGATTCCACCAGATCATGGACAAGCTCTTTACCCCGGCGAAATCTCAGCTTCCTTCTTCCTCCACTAGGTCTGTTTCTTCATGCTGATTTTGTTTTATATTTTCATTCATAATCTCAAATGAATTTCAATTGTTAGATTCATCTTCAGTATCTTAGTTCCAGAGTCTTACAATCGTTAAATCAGATTTCTGTTTAGCTGAATTGAGGTATCTGCATTGCTTATGGAAGTGGTGATCTTGTTTTTTTCCAAGTCACAATGCACTTTAGAGGCTAAACTTGCTTAAGATGTTTAGTTTAATTTGTTGTATCTCTGTAATTGCATAAGAGATTGTGAATTGCCTTAGGGTTATGACATTGCATTAGCACCAGGAATAATGGTTTACTTGATATCCCTTTTTGTGTTTCTGTAGTTCACCTGCAGAGCAACAATCAAGAGGCAAGAAGCGTCCAAATCCTTCATCTGCGTTAGCACTCGTTAAGCCAAGGACGGGATTAGCTACCATTGATAGGTCTTCTTCAGCTTTGAAAGCTCCCGCCGGTACATCACCTTCTGGTCTTTGCAGGCCATGGGATAGAGGAGACCTTATGAGGAGGCTAGCTACTTTCAAGTCCATGACATGGTTTGCCAAACCCCAGGTCTTCTCCTTGTGATCTTTGATCCACAGTCTCTATAGAATTCAATTCAGCTTAATCTAGTGGTATGTTCTTGCTATGAAATTCTTAGCTGATTTTGTGTTGTTGTGTGTGTGTGTGTGTGTTGGAAGGTTATCAGTGCTGTAAATTGCGCAAGGAGAGGGTGGGTGAATGTTGACAATGATACTATAGCTTGTGAATGTTGTGGAGCTCATCTTTACTTTTCAGCCCCATCTTCTTGGTCAAAGCAACAAGGTATGGTTCAACATGTTTTGTTTTTTATATATATTTTCCTAGAATCAGCTCTTTGTAACTAATACTCTGATATAGCAATTTTTGTGTTCTGACCTCACTGATATTGTGTATCTTCTCGATGATCTTACAGTGGAGAAAGCAGCATCAGTCTTCAGCTTAAAGTTGGATAATGGACACAAATTGCTCTGTCCATGGATAGAGAATGCATGTGAAGACACGCTTTCTGAGTTTCCTTCAATGACACCGCAGGATTTAGTCGATAGACATGAAGAACGGGCAGAATCTTTACTTGAACTTTTAGCCCTGCCTATTATTTCTCCATCTGCCATTGACTATATGAGGAGCTCCGATCTGGAGGAATTTCTCAAACGACCTATTGCACCTGCATGTGGCGACACGGCAGCCGAATGTTCTCAAACAGAATCACTTATCAATCATGTTGGAGCGAGTCCGTCTCAACTTTTCTACCAGGTTTGAGCTGCCCTCAAGGAATTATCAATTATCCTGCTAACGTAGAACACTTCGCAATCTTATTATTTTTTCGGCGTTTGACATAACATTGCCTTATTTATTGAGACTCTATTCTTATAGTTGACGTTGGTGATTGGTCTGTCCAGAGAAAAAAAATTTGGCAAATCATTCTTACCAGTTCATTCATTTCGTTCGTATGATATGATCACTTCTTTATTGCATCCTTTCTGAGAGGCATGTGATAGATCTTTGAGTCATTGCTAACCATAGTACTGATGCATTGATATTTGCAGGCACAGAAACTTATCAGTTTATGTGGCTGGGAACCGCGGGCACTTCCTTATATTGTGGACTGCAAAGATAAATCGGGTGAGACTGTTAAGGGTACAGATACTATTGATTTACTTCCAGAAACTGCTACCCGCGAGCTTCTAAGTTCCTCCAATTCAACCCCAAATCCAAATGGAATATCAGGGAATAGTGAAATCCCAACAGTGCCAGATACATTAAACTCTGATCCCAGTTCTGTTGTACTGGACTGTAAGCTCTGTGGAGCCTGTGTTGGACTCTGGGTGTTCTCTACCGTTCCGAGACCACTAGAATTGTGTAGAGTCACTGGTGATACCGAAGTTAATACAGTGAATAACTCCAGCGTCGGTACTCTTCAAAAACAAACTTCAAGCTTAAAGTTTACCATAGCAGGAGGACCCCCAGCAACAAAGCAAAACTTCAAAGCAACTATATCGCTGCCTATTATCGGCAGGAACTTGAGGTCGAGGTTTGCTTCTTACTCTAGAGATCGCGATCATGGGACTGCCAGTTCTATTCAGGATGAACAGAGTAAAACTGCAGAGACCAATGGTGGTGTCTCAGAAAATAGTGATCTAGCAATGATTTGTGTAGGAGAGAAGGTTGATGGAGGAAGAAACGCATCTGATATAGACACTTATAGTACACCACAAAGCAAAGACAAGCAACTGATGGTAGTAAGATCAAATCTTCCTGAAAACAACAAACAGCAGGATTTAACTCCAGGTAAATTGCTAAAAGTACTAATGCGGATACAAGCACGAATTATATCGAAACTAAATTATACTCATATTCATAGCTGAGATCCCTGTGTGTGTTATGTTTAAAAGCTCACGTTGAAAGAATGTTCAGCTAAACTGTGCTTGAAACTCATCTTTCTTTGTGAATATACAGATAAATCAGCTACTTCAAACAAACAGATGGAATTTGATCCAATAATGCAGCATAGGCATTTTTGTCCTTGGATTTGGTCAACAAGTAGAAGAGGCCCTGGATGGCGACAGACTCTGTCTGCAATACAACGCCATAAAGGATCTTGTCAGACTCCACCATCACCTTCGTCCCTCTTCAAGGTAGATTCCACTACATTCTTTTTCATATATTCTTAGGAAAGTTAACTTGTTCTTAGTGTTAGGATGGAAGAAACCTTATTACAGACTTACAGATATGACTAACCTCTGACCATTCTCATGTAGCAACAAATAATATGATCAAATAATAACCCACAACTTAAGTACAAAGATATTTAAACTTATGTTTGAGAATGCAACTTATGTCCTTGTCCTTGTTACAATTTCATTATGCATGACTTTTCTTTTGGTTGATATATTTTTGGATTCGCTCTGAGCTTGAGAACATTATCATTTCATAAAAGATAAACTCCTATAGAACAAGAACCATGTACATTCCTATAACTGTAAGATTATTATTATTTCATAAAGACCAACTTCTGATATTGTCTTTGATGGTTTTATTTATGTGATGTGTTCAGGTAGACGATCCGTTAACATCTGTTCGGAATCTGTTTAAGTCGCCATCCCCGAAGAAGCCAAGACTGAACAGAGGATCTTCAAGCTGAGACACCAGCGATTTTGTTCCCGAGTCCTCTTGGTCTACGCTGCACCCGGAAAATTTGAAACTTGAAAAACTGTAACATTCATGTGTTTGTTATTTACGGATTCCTTAAAAGGTTAGACCCATTTGAAATTGCTAAAGCTTATAATATGTAAACACGTAAAGTCATAAAGAGTTTGTATCAGAGTTTTTTTTTATCAAAGTCTAGACATTAGAGATTCGTCATTGCATTTGTAGACAAACTTTTCAAAAGACATTGTTAAATAACTAACTTGGTCCGTATCATTGTTCTGTTAGTCTAGTGACAATTTTGGGTTGAAATATCTCCCCGAGAAAGTTCAGGTACATAACATAACATTGTTTTAGTAGATATGAAGCGTGTATGTACCACAAATCTGATAATGAATCCGTAAAATGAAAATGGGTAAAATGAAGTCGTCCAAGTGCGGAAATTTGCGGAAGCAGATAATTGCAGTTTTGAACGTTTTTGAGTGTTATTCAGCGGTTTGGTTTGCACGACTGGTTAAATGTTTTAAGGCGTATCCGTTTACATTACATTTTTTACTGGCAAACCAATGGTTGTTTTAGCGGTTAAACATAAAATTACCAAAAATAAGCATTATATAAAATTATAAAAAAACAGAAAACTATATTATTATGATTAATATCAAAATCATTAGTTCAAAATAATTAATAAAAATTATAAATAATACTAAATAATTATTTTAAAACAAAAAAATTTATAATAATTTGATTTGTTTCAATTATTGGGAACATCACCCAAAATTATGTTTAATAATGTAACAGACCGGAAAAATTTTGCTCCAATACGTGGATCTTTTGAATTTTTTTTATGCATGATGTAAAATTTCTTCAATGATCTAATCGATTTTTTTGCACGACCCCCAACTCAAATCAACTCCAAATTGCTCATTATTATTCTTCAAAATATGTTCTTTCTGGAGTGCACTCAAAAATCTAGGATATTTATCTTGAATTTGTTTTTCTACAATGATCCGTTGAAGTAACACACATGTCATCTCGTTTGATCATGTAACTTTCTGAAGAACAAAAACAAAAAATTATAACAAACTAATTTTATAATTAATAAGATACATATTTATAATTTCTTACTTTAAAAGTGGAAACAGAACAAATTAATATAAATGAATTAAACCAAAGTATAATAGCACTTATGCTTGTATCTTAATTTTCTTCAACTGATATAAAAGTCATGATTAGAGACTAAACCTTTATAGAAAAAGTGAAAGGTTAGAGTTTATATATATAGGAGAAGATTAATAGGGTTAGGGTTTTATAATTGTTTTTAACGTAATTTTATTTTTTTATCCAACCGTTACCGCCCGCAACCGCAGACACTGGTGGGTTTTGGATTTCAGCGGTATAAAACGATACCGAGAAGTTTGCAGCAATTTCTATGATTGTGATAAAACGCCATTAACCGCTACCAACCGTAAATGCTGCATTTACAGGTGACACTACAAGAAAAACATCATTTTACAACGGCCGAAATAGTCGTTATTTCGTCGTAATAGTGTTATTACGACGGGCTACCGATGATTTCGAAATCGTCGTAAAGTCATCGTCGTAATAGACCAATCGTCGTAAAATCGTCGTATAATATACGACGGTTTCATTTCGTCGTAACATCGAGAGAAACAAAATCGTCGTAAATGCGTCGTACAGTTTACGACGATTTTACATCGAATTGCGTCGACTTGGTCTTGGCTTGGACCGTCGTTAAGTGGTCGTTAATGGTCGACGTAAGATCATCGTAAAATGTACGACGCATAAATCGTCGTAAATCAATCGTAAAGTATTTAATCATTTCGTCGTAAAATCGTCGTAAAGCACGGACGTATAATCGTCGTATTTGTCGTCGTACATTTTAGCCGTACATTCGTCGTAATATTTACGACGAATTTACAACGGTTTTAATAAAGCTATTACGACGATTATACGATGTTTAATATAATTGAAAATTAAAAAAAAAATTAATTCGAATTAAAATTTAAATTAAAAAAAAAATTTACAATTTAAAATTTATTAAAATTTGAAATTAAAATTAATTGTAATTTACATAAAAACCCTACAGATCTAAATCTAAATCTAAATCGTCGATTCCGTCGATCCTGTCACCGGTTTCCTCCCCATCGTCCTGGACGTGTTCCTTGCCGGGTCTTCGGTTTGATGTTTCCGCTGGCGCCTGATCTCCGGCTCTAGGAGGCTCAACCCGAGAGATCGGAACATCTCCTCGTCCGTCTGCACCGGCGGTTGCGTCCTAGTGGATAACCCGGCGGTAGACGATCCGACAACCCCATCAGCCCGCAGCTTGTCCAACTGCGCCATGAGTATCGGATTGTCGGCTCCCATGATCTCGAAGAGACCGTAGAGCTGGTCGATCTTCGTCTTGTACCGGGTCCGCATCTGATCGATCTCCTGGCAGATAACCGGATCCGGAACCCGGACGTGACCAGTCGCCGTAGCTCTCGGGGTATCACGGATGGACTCCATCCCTAATACCCGCCCCTTTTTCTTTGGGGCAACCTACAAATATTTTAAAAACATTATGGTTAGAAATTTAATTTAAAACTAAAGTTACATTAATTAAATATAGTAATTAAATTTACCTCTTCGAAGATCTGGTCCATCTCCGTCACCGTCAGCGCCGGGGTCGATTGGACCGAGCTACCTCCGGGAGACGTTTGACGCGCCTGCTGAGTCAGCTGCGTCTGTCGCTCCTCGATCGCCGCACATGCGGCGTTGTAGATCTCCTCCACCCGAGGATCCGTGAATTCGCCGTTACGCTTCTTATGCGTCTCGGCAAAAACCTTCGTCATCGGAGGAAGTTCTCCTCCGTTATCTTCGACCTACAAAATCAAAATGAAAAAATTAATTAGTATCGAGAAATAAAAGTTAATTATTTGAAAACAAAAAAATTATTAATTTTAATTTACTTACCATCATAAGCCGTCTTCCAACAAAAAGAATCTGGCCGGAAGTGTGCCGGACGTTCTTCCGATTTCCCGCATCGTCAGTAGCGTTCCTGAAAAATATTTTCATTAGAATATATTATAAGAAAAAAAATAATGTTAATATTATTGGAATTAACTACTTACCTAGATCCGGAACACTTGGCGGCCGTAGTCTGCTTATGCGGATCCAACCAGTACTGGACAAGGCCCCGCTAGACGGTATTGGCCATAGGCGCCGGCTTGGCCTTGTCGCCGTCAACCTCCCACTTCTGTTTCCAGTCGGAAACGGTGTTGTTGAGGCGGAATTTGACCTTCTCCTTGAAGGCCATCTCCACACGTCAGTGTGCGGATGTTTCCCAATGCCAATTTTATTAAGAAAAAAAAAAGAAGTTAGTAATTATTGTAAAAAGTTAAAATTTAAAATTACAATTAAACGAAATGGTAAATTACTTACCGTAAAACACTTGAACCAAGTGTCAAGTGTGGCCTGATCCAGCTTCTTCCAGCTGGTATGGGGTTGTACGAAAAACCCCTTCATGATATCCGCAACGTTACGACCGACTGCATTGTCGGTCGTAAACCTAGTCAAATGAAAAGAGAAAAAGTAAATTAATATCAAATATATAAGAATAAATATTAATTAATTTAAAAATATTGTAGGAAAAAAATTACGTACCAAAAGGTGCCTGGGGCTCGATCCGGGTCGAGTTTGTTCATGGTCTCACGACCGGGTTGCGCCAGAAGATCATGTACCGTAAACTGGGGATACGGTACAGGCTGGATCGGATCAGCCTCAGGATCGGCCTGGGCGGGAGCCGCTGGTTTGGCTGGTGGTGGTGGAGGCGGTGCCGGCTGCGGAACAACGACCGGTTGGGAAACCGTCCGTTGTGTTCCCGAGGACTCCTGGATGGCTGATCCGGTCGCCGAGGTAGACGGGGCCGTATCGTCAGAATCGACGAGCTGTCGGTAGTGAAATCTCTTAGCCCGAGGAGCCATATCGACAAAATCTACAAAATTTTAAAAAATTAGTTACTAATTTTTCAAATATTTATTTAAATTTACCAAAATCCGGGCCTAACTAAATTCTGAAAACTAAATCTAAATTCTGAACCTAAATCTAAATTCCGAATCTAAATCTAAAATAATATGTAATGAAATTAATTTAATAAAAATAATTACAAATTAATTGGCTGGAGAGTAGGGAGAGAAGGGAGAGGTTTATTTGTAGAGAGATAGAGAGATTTCTAGAGAGAGAGAGGGAAGAGAGGAATGAGCAACGAAGGAGGAAATCTCGCGTTCCTTATATAAATTTTGTGATCGTCGTAAAATCGTCGCAACATTACGACGGTTTTACGACGATTTGGTTGTATAACAGTCGGTCCACTGCATGACATGACACGTGTCGTGATGGGAGCATTTGATCGTTACGACGGTTTTACGACGATTAAACCCCAAACCGTAGTAAAATCGCCGTAACGTCAAAACATTCATAACCTCGAACCTCGGATCAAGAGCCTATCCGGTGCAAACGTTACGACGGTGTTACGATGGTTTTGGGTTTAATCGTCGTAAAACCGTCGTAACTTTACGAGTATATTACGACGGTTTTACGATGTTTTTTTAAAAAGTGAGTAAAACCTAAATCTTATAAATGGGATATTGCATAAAGAACAATGCAAATGTTATTGTATCCTAACATATAACAAAAGGTTTACAACTTTGCATGTATGATGGATTTATGACATGAGATAGTAAAAATTGAAATTCCGTAATCTAATATATAACCTTTCACTTAACATTTACGAAAAGATGCATGAACTTGTAAATATGTATGTTTTTTTTCAAATTTTTGATTTTGATCAGATTGATAGCATTTCATATAAAATAAGATAACCAATCAAAAACATTTGTGAAATACCTTACAACCAATAAGATATAAAAGATTCAAATTCTTGGATTTCAACATTACGACGACATTACGACGAAATAGTGTACTCGTCGTAAAACCGTCGTAACTTTACGACGATATTACGATTGTTCGTCGTAAAGACGTCGTAATGTTGAAACCCTATTCATTCAAGGCTTAAAACCTAGACTTAGGGTTTAGGGTTTAGAAAAACCGTCGTAAAACCGTCGTAAAATCGAATTTTAGGGTTTTTAAAAAATTCAAACAAACAAAGTTTCAAATTACATAATAACAAACATTCACTAAATACAATGCATGAAACTCAATCAGATTCATCTTCCTCTATTACTTCATCACCATCA